CACTATGCAGGCACACACAGAACCAACAGCATTTTATTAACCATGCTTTTTAAGAACAAGTCACTGCAGAAATAGTGACATGTGGCTTTTACAGAGCTGTGTCACAACTGGAAGTGACCAGATTTAGACATTGTGGGATAATAGGGTGAATAGGTGTTACAGTTATATATGGGAACCGTGATGGCAAAAGGGTTCGATGCTCATCTATCAACTAAGTCACAAGTTCAAATCAGCACTTAAGCAGATTTTTTCTTTTCTTCAAAACTTGCTCCGTAAGTGACCCAGTTTAAAATGGGTAACAGGTAATGTCCTGTCCACTAAAAGGGTCTTTTACTTTCCAGGACTTTGCCTGGTTATGATTTAAGGCTAGGTCAACCTGGGAGCCAAGGTCAATTTTTTAAACAAAGGTCTAGCTCTGCCACGACCAGAACCCATGACCAGCAGGCTAGTGTCTAGCCGCTACACCAGGGCAGCTTCCTCCTTTCTGTAGTAAGACACTTTAAATCCAACCTCAGCACAATGTTGTCGTCAAGACTCTCTGACAATGTCTTTACTCTGTTGCCTCAGAAACGCTAAAAAAATGGGTCACAGCCCTGTGGGAATTCCCGAACAAAATCTTTAATAAAACAACATAAGGCAGGTCACTAATAAATTCATTAAAAATTGTTGTATCTATATATTTTTTCTTTAAAAACAATAATAAGAGATACATGAAGGGAGCAATCAATAAACATGAGCAGGGTGAAGCATTAAATGGTATACATTCCCCTACACCTAAAAAAACAACATATGTATAAGGTGACTCATGTCATGACCTCGTAACCTCTATCATTGAGGCTAACAGGAAAATGTGATGTCAACTTAGGTTAAAACTAATCTACTTGGCTCCAAGAAAGACCACTTAAACAATTTTTGTCATTAATGTATTCACTTAGTGACCTCCTAAATGTTTGCACGGGCATGAAAACAGCCAACAGAATGAACTATGCATCTCATAAACAGGTCATCACAGACATGTCGGAAAAAAAACTTTTTTAGGGAGCTGGATCTGACCGAAAGTGTCAGCTCTGCGGCTTCTCAGAGGTTAAAAGCAGTTTCAAAATTCCTCAAGCTGTTTAACAACAAACAACTTATATCACCTGGGTTCATAAACCATATCATTGTGTCACTTGAAGAAGAGACTGAATCATGTTTGCTTCAAGCGCAGTAATGCAGTTGTATCAGCTTATATCAGAAACGGTTCATAGTAATAGTTTTTGGGTAACATATCTCCCCATGACAGACCCACAAAGATGGACAGGTCAAGACAGGAAGCCAGTATTCATGTGAAATGTCCGAGGATGATAGTGCTAAAACCATGCCACCATAGTACTATCTGCAATGAGTAAGTCTCTATTTCCTCGCTGTGCCATAATACTATCTACTGTGGTCTACCCTGCACAAGTCTATTTCCTCGCTGTCAGAACCTTCATTGGCCTCATGGTCTTTCGTCAGCATCTCTATTGTTTCAGCTTTCCCGTTAAGAATCCGCTCCGATTTTTCCGTTCTGCCTGTGGAATAAAATTAAAAGTATTTACAGAGACAAAGACTCGATAAAGAGATACAGGCTAGAGTTCAAAAAGCCAATGCAGTCAACTACCAACTGGCCCCACTTCTTCGTCATCCAAAGATCTCGTTACCAGCCAAACAACGGATGATCAACAGCATTTTCATCCCTATGTTATGTTATCAGTGCCAAACGTGGACAATGAACAAATCACATATGCAAAAAATAACTACGTGTGAAATGCGATGTCTCCGAAGAGTCACCAACAATACCACGAAGAGACAGTCACAAACGTCAGCATTAGAGACAAAGTTGGAACAAGAGCATGCATGGAACTGAAAAAACAGAGAATGAAGTGGTTTGGTCATTTAGTAAGAATGCAACCGGATCAGATTGCCTATAAGGCCTTTTACAATAGAACATCGGGAAGAAAGGCCAGAGGAAGACCCAGGAAAAATGGATAGATGGAGTAGCTGAATACGGCCAGAAGATCCAGAAAACTGTCACTCAAATCACGCGAGAGGCACAAAACAAATATTTTAAACCACGACACTGGGCTGCAACCCGGTAAAAGTGAAGAAGACAATAGATAGATAGATAGACAGAGACACCAAAAAAAAAAAAAACACTGACCTGATCCGTGAAACTACTGATCGTGTAAGATGGCGCAACATGACAGCCTATACCAGGGCTACTCTGGGGCCACCATTTTCAAAATGAGGATCATCAAGGGCCAGAAGCCTAAGCTCCAGAGTGAAAAAATTATGAATACAATACAACTGGCAGTGATCCGCAGGCCACTTGCTAGGCCTCCACGGGCCAGATGTGGCCCGCAGGCCACCAGTTGAATAGCCCTAGCTTATGTTTACCGGCATGGGGCATGATGATGATTTACACAGCCAGTCTGGGTGTTTGATAGATTTATCAGTTTGTCCCCTCTGGGATGTTACCTAAAAGGGGGGGGGGGGGGCTGAGTGATCTTGATGGCCTCTTCCTTGAGTGCTGGAGGTCCTGGGTTCAGGCCCTGGTGAAGGCTGAGATTTTTTCACGTGGACTTCTAGTCATTTCCTCTGGTCTCTGGTTAGTAAGACTGGATGCCGGTGTGTATTGCTGCACACGTAAAAAATTCCTTGGCAGATGGCAATCGAAAAGAGTAGCCAAACAGCACTGCCCATGCAAAGATGGAGTTTCAAAGTATTTCAGGATCCTCACCGGTGCAACCGAGCACTTATGAGTTATGGCATGATGTCGATCCGAGGACTAAACTAAACTAAACTATTTATGCTGGGCCAGTCTTTCCCATTTGGCCGTCCATAGAACCAATTTATGGCCACACTATGGATGATATAAGTGTTGTTTTATGTTACCCCTGGATACACTATGGATGATATAAGTGTTGTTTTATGTTACCTCTGAAAACACTATGGATGATTATAAGTGTTGTTTTATGTTACCCCTGGATACACTATGGATGATATAAGTGTTGTTTTATGTTACCCCTGGACACACTATGGATGATTATAAGTGTTGTTTTATGTTACCCCTGGATACACTATGGATGATTATAAGTGTTGTTTTATGTTACCCCTGGATACACTATGAATGATATAAGTGTTGTTTTATGTTACCCCTGGATACACTATGGATGATATAAGTGTTGTTTTATGTTACCTCTGGATACACTATGGATGATATAAGTGTTGTTTTATGTTACCCCTGGATACACTATGGATGATATAAGTGTTGTTTTATGTTACCCCTGGATACACTATGGATGATTATAAGTGTTGTTTTATGTTACCCCTGGATACACTATGGATGATATAAGTGTTGTTTTATGTTACCCCTGGATACACTATGGATGATAAGTGTTGTTTTATGTTTCCCCTGGATACACTATGAATGATATAAGTGTTGTTTTATGTTACCCCTGGATACACTATGGATGATATAAGTGTTGTTTTATGTACCTCTGGATACACTATGGGATATAAGTGTTGTTTTATGTTACCCCTGGATACACTATGGATGATATAAGTGTTGTTTTATGTTACCCCTGGATACACTATGGATGATATAAGTGTTGTTTTATGTTACCTCTGGATACACTATGGATGAAATAAGTGTTGTTTTATGTTACCTCTGGATACACTATGGATGATTATAAGTGTTGTTTTATGTTACCCCTGGATACACTATGGATGATATAAGTGTTGTTTTATGTTACCCCTGGATACACTATGGATGATATAAGTGTTGTTTTGTTACCTCTGGATACACTATGGATGAAATAAGTGTTGTTTTATGTTACCTCTGGATACACTATGGATGATTATAAGTGTTGTTTTATGTTACCCCTGGATACACTATGGATGATATAAGTGTTGTTTTATGTTACTTCTGGATACACTATGGATGATTATAAGTGTTGTTTTATGATACCCCTGGATACACTATGGATGATATAAGTGTTGTTTTTATGTTACCCCTGGATACACTATGGATATATAAGTGTTGTTTTATGTACCCCTGGATACACTATGGATGATATAAGTGTTGTTTTATGTTACCTCTGGATACACTATGGATGATTATAAGTGTTGTTTTATGTTACCCCTGGATACACTTTGGATGATATAAGTGTTGTTTTATGTTACCTTTGGATACACTATGGATGAAATAAGTGTTGTTTTATGTTACCTCTGGATACACTATGGATGATTATAAGTGTTGTTTTATGTTACCCCTGGATACACTATGGATGATATAAGTGTTGTTTTATGTTACCCCTGGATACACTATGGATGATATAAGTGTTGTTTTATGTTACCCCTGGATACACTATGGATGATATAAGTGTTGTTTTATGTTACCCCTGGATACACTATGGATGATATAAGTGTTGTTTTATGTTACCTCTGGATACACTATGGATGATTATAAGTGTTGTTTTATGTTACCCCTGGATACACTATGGATGATTATAAGTGTTGTTTTATGTTACCCCTGGATACACTATGGATGATATAAGTGTTGTTTTATGTTACCCCTGGATACACTATGGATGATTATAAGTGTTGTTTTATGTTACTCCTGGATACACTATGGATGATATAAGTGTTGTTTTATGTTACCCCTGGATACACTATGGATGATTATAAGTGTTGTTTTATGTTACCCCTGGATACACTATGGATGATTATAAGTGTTGTTTTATGTTACCCCTGGATACACTATGGATGATTATAAGTGTTGTTTTATGTTACCCCTGGATACACTATGGATGATTATAAGTGTTGTTTTATGTTACCCCTGGATACACTATGGATGATTATAAGTGTTGTTTTATGTTACCCCTGGATACACTATGGATGACATAAGTGTAGTTTTATGTTAAAAAAAATTGGCAATGTAAATCACATGGATGACAAACTGACGGCACAGTGCTACTTACTGTCCACAGCCTTGGCTACCACATGGATGACTATACCCATCAGACACACAAGCAAGCCGATGGCGTTGACAGCATTCATGGGGTCATGGTTGACCAGGTAGGCAAGTGCCAGGATGCACGATTCCTAAGTGGGGAAAAGGTCACGTTTATTTTATATATATATATTTATATATATTTTTAAACTATGATCTTCTTCTTCAGAATTTACCAGCCGTTAACTTTGGCAGAACATTTTGGTTGTTTGTCCACTTCTGCAGTTTAGTCGTGTTCTAGTACTAGAGTTTTACACGCACACGCGTTTTACAGATCTAGTTTATTTGTATGGACACTTACATCTTCTAATGAACGTAAAATTGTGACAACAGAGATGAAATGCCTTAGAAGAGCTGCAGGAGTTTCAAGGAAAGACAGAATACAAAACCACAAAATCAGATGAATGCCAGGAATAAAGCCAGTCAGGTTATCAAAGAACAACGAATGAAGTGGTCTGGACACCTAACAAGAATGCCCTGGTACTATCTGCCACAGCGAGCCACACTAAAACGTTACAACAGGTATAGAGCGAGCGGAAGACCTCGGAAAAGAGGGAGTGATGGCATTAAGAACAGCCTGACAGAAATGAACATCGGTCTTAATAGTGCTCTTGACAGAGCTTATCAATGAATGTTACATGTGCCCCCGACACTTTACTGAGGTACAAGGTAGAAGAGAAGAAGAAGAAGAAGAAGTTTATTTGTAAGCAGACTGTTGGTTTCCTGCTTCTCAGGCAGATGCACTACATTTTGAAGGAAACAACTTGGGCTATGGGCTATGATTGGGCCATGATGCCCGCACAGGGGCACAGCGCCGAGTTTTGCAATGCAGGGGCCCAGGACAAAGGGCCTGTATGGGGTACTGGTTCATACCTGGGAACATCTCAAGCAACCATAAGGCCAAAGTGCAAGAGGCGATTTTAATGCATTCTGGCAGGTTGTGGCGGTGTTGTTCGTAATGCGAGCTGACTCTGAGGTCGACTATGTGACCCTTCTGTATTTGCATTAAAGGCCAGTGGCTGAAGAGTATTTTCTGACGGTCTTGGTGTTGCTGCATGTAGATAGTCACAGTTATAAGAGTTGCGTGCGAGCCATTGCCTGTACTTCCGCTTGCCACGAGCTCTCCTTAAATGTCACGAAACTGACCTGTCTGTAGCGATCTTTTCCCAAGAAGCATAGTTTAATATGACAGGTTCTTCCCCGTGTGGGTTCCGGGGCCCAGTTGTGGGGAAAACGATAGTAGACCCACTGCCTACCCAAAAGCATGTCGTAAGAGTCGACTAATTGGGAGCTTCCTTCGAAGTCAGAAGTACATCTGCCTGAGAGGCAAGGAACTAACAGTCTGCATGCAAATAAGTCAGACCTGTGAAATGGGTGTACACGCAAAAGTCAGGTTCTGGAACAGGACTAGAGTCCAGAAAGAGACGAACAACCAGAACTTTCCGCCGGAGCTTACAGCTGGTGAATGCAAAGAAGAAGAAGAAGAAGAAGAAGAAGAAGACAGGTTCTATTCATGCCTGCATAGATATGAATTCATTTACTAAAAAAAAAAAGCAATGGAGGGAACCAAATGCTTTTAAAGAGAAAAGCTGACATTATATTTTCGCACAAACCTCTATGACAGAGGTCACAGGGACATGACAAGAACTAACCATGCAGGTATTATATTATACTGAATGCTTCATTCTATTCATGTTTACTGATTAATCCCTCTATATATTTTTAAATATTTAAAAAAATTAACGAGGATAAATACATTTTTAACATACTTATTGCGACCCGTATACAATTTATGTTTTATTAATGTCTTTTTGGAGAACTCCAACCTAGCTCTGATCCTTTTTTTTTTTTTTTTTTTTTAGTATTTCTGAGGCAACTGGGTTAAGAGCTCAAATCACTAATTTCTTGCTCATCTGCTTGCATGATCTGCCTTTTACTGGGTTTATCCCTTCTTACATACAAAAAGGCACATTCCAGAACTCATCTTAAACACACCAGAAATAGACAGGCACACACTAGAACTTACCTTAAAGACACCAGAAATAAACAGGCACAAACCAGGACTCACCTGAAAGTCACCAGAAATAAACAGGCGCATACCAGGACTCACCTTAATGTCACCAGAAATAGACACACACATACAAGGACTCACCTTAAAGACACCAGAAATAAACATACACATACCTGGACTCACCTTAAAGTCACCAGAAATAGATATGCATATACCAGGACTCACCTTAAAGACACCAGAAAAAAACATAAATATACCAGGACTAACATTAAAGACACCAGAAATAAACATAAATATACCAGGACTAACATTAAAGACACCAGAAATAAACATAAATATACCAGGACTAACATTAAAGACACCAGAAATAAACATAAATATACCAGGACTAACATTAAAGACACCAGAAATAAACATAAATATACCAGGACTAACAATAAAGACACCAGAAATAAACAGGCACATACCAGGACTAACATTAAAGACACCAGAAACAAACATAAATATACCAGGACTAACATTAAAGACACCAGAAATAAACATAAATATACCAGGACTAACATTAAAGACACCAGAAATAAACATAAATATACCAGGACTAACATTAAAGACACCAGAAATAAACAGGCACATACCAGGACTAACATTAAAGACACCAGAAATAAACATAAATATACCAGGACTAACATTAAAGACACCAGAAATAAACATAAATATATCAGGACTAACATTAAAGACACCAGAAATAAACATAAATATACCAGGACTAACATTAAAGACACCAGAAATAAACATAAATATACCAGGACTAACATTAAAGACACCAGAAAAAAAACATAAATATACCAGGACTAACATTAAAGACACCAGAAATAAACATAAATATACCAGGACTAACATTAAAGACACCAGAAATAAACAGGCACATACCAGGACTCACCTTAAAGTCACCAGAAATAAACAGGCGCATACCAGGACTCACCTTAATGTCACCAGAAATAGACACACACATACAAGGACTAACCTTAAAGACAACAGAAATAAACATACACATACCAGGACTCACCTTAAAGTCACCAGAAATAAACATAAATATACCAGGACTAACATTAAAGACACCAGAAATAAACATAAATATACCAGGACTAACATTAAAGACACCAGAAATAAACATAAATATACCAGGACTAACATTAAAGACACCAGAAATAAACAGGCACATACCAGGACTCACCTTAAAGCCACCAGAAATAAACAGGCACATACCAGGACTCACCTTAAAGCCACCAGAAATAAACAGGCACATACCAGGACTCACCTTAAAGCCACCAGAAATAAACAGGCACATACCAGGACTCACCTTAAAGTCACCAGAAATAAACAGGCACATACCAGGACTCACCTTAAAGTCACCAGAAATAGGCACATACCAGGACTCACCTTAAAGTCACCAGAAATAGGCACATACCAGGACTCACCTTAAAGTCACCAGAAAGAGACATGCACTACGAAGACTTACCTTAAAGACACCAGAAATAGACATGGTTAAGCTGGAGGTGTGAAACAGAAGTAGATACTCGCTGAACTCCAGCATGAAGCCTAGAAACCCTCCCAGCAAAATGGTACCAATGCTGCTCAGTAACACAGACCACTCAGAGAACCGAAAATACTTTTCTGTAGTTGACACAACGTCACCTAAAAAAAAAACACAATACAGTTAGAAGATATTGTAAAATGGGAAAAAAAAAAACTGTGTGTTTAGCCAGCCAAAGGACACAAGGCTCTGACTTGTTAACAATGGATTGTGTCAAACTGCAACATAAAAGCTTAACGCTCTTGGCATCCCTAACAACAATACTGACAGGTTACAGCATGTATTAGTGCAGGGCTATTCAACTCAGTGTAAACCAGAAAGCGAACACAAGAAGAAGAAGAAGTGCATTACTTGCCAGCTGGTATGTTCATTATCTTCTGCTCAGGCATGCCCAGATGTGTAGATCCAGGTAAGGGAGGTGAAGTGTGATTTCTAAATGCTGTCTATCCATTTAGACAGAAGACTTCCTGTTGCAATTTTCTAATGCATGTCCACAGAAAGAATGGCAAGGAAAAATGGAACAGAAGAAGCAGCAGAAGCAGAAGGAAGAAAGAGGAGGAGGAGGAAAAAATGTTCATGATGCAGAAGAATAACAAAAGATAAAGAAGAAGAACAACAATAACAACAACAAGAGAAGGAGGAGGAGATAAAGAAGAAAGAAGAGCAGAGGAAGAAGAAGATGAAGAAGAAGCAGAAGAATAAGAAGAACAACAAGATAAGGAGGAGGAGATACAGCAGAAGGAATAGAAGAAGAAGAAAATAACGAGAAGAAAAGGAGGAGGAGATAAAAAAGAAGGGATAGTAGCAGAAGCTGCAGAAAAATTAGGCAGATGGCAATAGCATTAGAATTAGCAGTATTAGTAGAAAGAGGAAAAGGAGCAGAAAAAGAAGCATAAGAAGACTGTATTCCAGCCAGAGGTACTTCTTTTCTTCTGCCTTTCTATCTGCCAATGGAGCAATAGATCCTCAACCAACTCCCGCCGAGTCATTCTATCCTTTGCTACTGCAAGCAGCTCTCCCCACATCCTGCCCATCTTTTTTAACTTCACTATTCGGCTCCCTTCTCCATATGTTTTCGGTCTACCTTTATTTCTATGCCCCTGTGGGTGCCAGTGCAAAGACATTCTAGTCATTTTGTTCTCAGGCTTTCTCAACGTGCGTCCTATCCAACGCCAGCATCTTTTCCTTACCTCCTGGTCCACTGAAACTTATTTAGCTCACAGGTAGCACTTCACTTACCTTCAAAAAGAGCGGATAAAGGAAATAATGACAACATCATCCACGGCTGTATATGGAACATCATGTCTACTGGGTTATGCAGCCCTGGGGGGAGACAGACAAAGTTTGATGTGAGTCTGGGGGAGACAGACAAAGTTTGATGTGAGTCTGGGGGAGACAGACAAAGTTTGATGTGAGTCTGGGGGAGACAGACAAAGTTTGATGTGAGTCTGGGGGAGACAGACAAAGTTTGATGTGAGTCTGGGGGAGACAGACAAAGTGTGATGTGAGTCTGGGGGAGACAGACACAGTTTGATGTGAGTCTGGGGGAGACAGACAAAGTTTGATGTGAGTCTGGGGGAGACAGACAAAGTTTGATGTGAGTCTGGGGGAGACAGACAAAGTTTGATGTGAGTCTGGGGGAGACAAACAAAGTTTGATGTGAGTCTGGGGGAGACAGACAAAGTTTGATGTGAGTCTGGGGGAGACAGACAAAGTTTGATGTGAGTCTGGGGGAGACAGACAAAGTTTGATGTGAGTCTGGGGGAGACAGACAAAGTTTGATGGAGTCTGGGGGAGACAGACAAAGTTTGATGTGAGTCTGGGGGAGACAGACAAAGTTTGATGTGAGTCTGGGGGAGACAGACAAAGTTTGATGTGAGTCTGGGGGAGACAGACAAAGTTTGATGTGAGTCTGGGGGAGACAGACAAAGTTTGATGTGAGTCTGGGGGAGACAGACAAAGTTTGATGTGAGTCTGGGGGAGACAGACAAAGTTTGATGTGAGTCTGGGGGAGACAGACAAAGTTTGATGTGAGTCTGGGGGAGACAGACAAAGTTTGATGTGAGTCTGGGGGAGACAGACAAAGTTTGATGTGAGTCTGGGGGAGACAGACAAAGTTTGATGTGAGTCTGAGTTAATACACCCTCAGTAGAATGAAGACAGGATTACTATCAGGTTAACCCACTCACAACTCTCATGACCTTTCCCAAACATCTCGATTCGCGTGAGTAGTTTTTTTACCTGTTCTTTAGTCAATGTCCAAATCTGACAGCACAACGGTGAAGACTGCATTTATAACCTGTCTTTTTGTCTCTACTAAGGGGCTGCATGGTCTCGAGGCATGGTGTTCGCCTCGAGTGCTAGAGTTTCGGGTTCAATCCCTAAGAAGGTCTGGAATTATTTTAAGTGGACTTGGACTTCTAGTAATTCTCCCTGGTCTCTGGGTAGTGAGATCGGACCCCCCTGGGCATTGCTGCGAACGTTAAAAAAAATCCCTTGGCATTTGGAAATCAAAAAAGAGTAGCCTAATGGTGCTGCTCGGGGCAAAGATTTGGAGCTGACAATCAACCCAAAGTATTTCAGGATCCTCGGCGGTGCTAAAGAGCCTGTGCACCGTGCTGAGCTTCTTTGGACTCAGACAAGTTAGAAGAAAGAACGGAGCACTTATGGTTACTGCCTGTGTGCCATGATGTTGATCTGTTGTTCAAACTCAAACCTTGTCTCTACTGTGGGATATCCAGGTCTTTCGAAATTAGAGTCAGCTGACACGTGACATAACTGGCCTGCAAAAACTGGAATTAGCATCATTTACCCTATGCATAAAGGTCGACGGTGTGTCCCATACACACTGATTCACATTCGGCTCCATATTCATTTCTAATGTTCGGAACTACCATTAAAGTATTCAGGGAAGGTTACTCTGTTTTTTTTTCTTTGTTCACACGCATATGGGCGTCAACTGATCCCATTCGTTGCTAGCATCATTTTCAGACAGTGCATCTTCTGATTTTCTGTAGAACTGGCCATGGATAGCAATGTTCCGAACGCAAACACAGGCTAAAAAATGCACCTTTCTGTGGCAGAAGCTCTGAAATTGTTTCAGTCAGATGTTTTCTAATTCTGATAATGATAATGAAAAATGTATACTTTTCGGAAAGGGATTCGGGTGGTAAATTTACACCAGCGGCAGCACCGCTAGGCTGTTAGTTCTGATGAGGTCAATACAAAAGGACCCATCTGATTTGTGAAGGATGTGTTAGTCACCAACATTTGCATTCAAAGAACTGTTTTAGACAGTCATCATCATCATCAGGTGCCTTGCCGAGGTGTAGGCGATCATGCCTCTCCCTAATCCACGATCTCCTGCAGCATGTATCAGTTTGTGTGCCGACACACCTCCATGCTATGCAGCAAGACTTTCAAGAATCTTCTCTCGTTGTCTTACTCTATCCATCCTTCCACAGGTCTTTCCAGTGGTCACAACATGTTCCATTTTCCCTCTTCTCATAACATAATGATGACTGTCTCCTTCTGATGCCTGTGATAAGTTGTCTTTGGGATCCAGCCTCTTTCAAAACCTCTTGGTTGCTCTTTTTGGCTGTCCAAGGTATTCTAAGCATTCTTCTGTAAAACCACATCTCTGAGGCCTCCAAAAATTGTTTTGCCTGCCTACCGATTGTCCAGGATTCACAGCCATATGTTAAAACTGGATGAATGTAGCAAGCAGGAATTCTTTTTCTAACTCTAAATGACAAGGATATATTGCACAAGATGTTCTTCATTTTAAACAGTACCATACTTATATTATGGCTAAGCTGCATTGAAATCATTGCAGCTACTGTATGTATATAACTATACAAAGTTAATATTTTGTGTGTACAGATCTAATTTTCTGCCATATTTTCTCTGAAATTCTATTCAGCACTCTATGAGAATCTAGAGCCTCTGAGTGATAAGCTAACCCAGAAACGTAATACAACTGGTTATTCTCAAATTTGGATATTCACTGTCCTTGTGGTTGCAAAACCATGGTAAGTGAAGATTTTGTCTTTATAAACATAACACCTCCTGAATTTTTTTTTTTTTCCTACTAACTATAACAGTATTTAAAAAAAATATATCATCAGATTCAAAATGTACATTCATTCCTCTTTAAAATAATATACTTTTTGTAGGGATTAGAAATATATTATATCTATAGCTCTAATTTTTTTTGTTGGGTCCCTAATACAGCTCTTATCTAATACAGCAGATAGATCATTACGGTCTAAGGAGAATGAGGCTGCAAGGAGTTACCAGGGGATCTGGTGGACACTCAACACTCAGGGGAAGGGTGAGACGGATATATAATCATACAGTTACTGGTACCATCGGAATTGGAACTCTTTGCTTGCTGCTGAAGATGGGTACTGAGCCCTTATGGGAGTGCCCCAAGTGCTGTGATGTCGATTTCTAATTCTAATTCAACATACAGCTCTTATCTTTGAGAACATCTGGCTGAAGAACAGTAATCAAACTTACCTAACTCACCCCTCTGCAACAAAATCTGGGCCAAAGTCCACCTGAGCCCTGATAATGCAGAGGCAGTCATGACCAGGCTGAACCCAAGTAGTTCGAATTGTGTTGAGCGGAATGTGAACAAAAAGAGACCCGTAAAGATGAACAACACAACGGCAACCAAACTCCAGCGCTGATGTTCATGAAAAGAAAAAAATTACAGGAAATTAGACTAAAGGTTTTTTGAACAAAGAAGACACAAACAATAGATTGCACAATTTATTGCCTGGCATATTTCACTGTATCTCGTCAGGTGCATACTATAGTAACAATTACATAAATGAAGTAAAAAAGTGAATCCTTTATAACTGAAGTACAATTTCAACAACGATCAAACGTGACTGCCTGTTTTTACGAGGGCAGCCGTAAAGACAGAACCATCTCTTTCTGAATACTGAGTTCCAGGCGTTCTGCCATTGGTTGGTGTATGAAGGATTTGAAATGTGTTGCATTTAGTCACCAAGTGTCCGGATTTTAGAAGATTGCATGCTATTGCCGAGAGGTGATCTTTGCGGCCAGTATTCTAATTTTGAATATTATTTTGCATGGCTTTTTCTACCCATACTGGAATATGATCAGCGACTCGTTTCTCCAGGCATTGATCAGTTCTGCTTCACTGCTTTATTTAAATTGGTAGATACAATTTGATTTGGTGTACGTCGACACTGGTTGTTTCACCGAGGGCATTGGCACGGGGGTAGTTTTAAAAATAGCTAAAGAGACTATAAAGAGCTAAAGAGACTATAAATGCTAGAGACTATAAAGAGCTAAAGATACTTTAATAGCTAAAGAGACTATAAACAGCTAGAGTATAAAGAGCTAAAGAGACTATAAATAGCTAAAGAAACTAAAAATAGCTAAAGAGACTATAAATAGCTAAAGAGACTATAAATAGCTAAAGAGACTATAAATAGCTAAAGAGACTATAAATAGCTAAAGAGACTATAAATAGCTAAAGAGACTATAAATAGCTAAAGAAACTAAAAATAGCTAAAGAGGCTTTAATAGCTAAAGAGACTATAAATAGCTAAAAAAAACTTTGCATAGCTAAAGAAACTATCAATAGCTAAAGAAACTATACATAGCTATAGTAACTATACATAGCTAAAGAAACTCTCAATAGCTTAAGAAACTATCAATAGCTAAAGAAACTATACATAGCTAAAGAAACTATCAATAGCTTAAAAAAATAAAAATAGCTAAAGAAACTATACGTAGCTAAAGAAACTATAAATAGCTAAAGAAACTATCAATAGCTAAAGAAGCTTTTGACAGCTAAAGAAACTATAAATCAACTTACAAACTTCTCCAGCTTGAAGAAGAGAGAGAACATCAAAATAAATATCACAGCAGTTGACTTGGACATTGTGTACCTGCAATAAAGGTTAAAGATGTTGAAGGTTAAAGTCGAGGTTAAAGGTTATAGTTGAGAGGATCGACTTCACTGCACCGGGCTTTATCACATATGGCTCTGTCTCTTTCCGCTGAATGGCCAGACATCCACCCAGAGCGTTGCACAGAGCACAAACTCCATAGCTCTGGTGATGATCCTCAGGGATCGTCAAAACTGCACTCATGAAATGAATGGTGCAGCCGTGAAACAAACCCACGACCTTCAGGGTAAGAGGCGAATGGCTTGAACACTTTGCCATCTTTATCAGTTGAAATAAACAAACAAGTAAGTTAATGATCCTTTACCAGGACATTGCAGAACTAACAATTTTAAATTCAGTAGTTTGCCGCTGCTTTCTGAACAACTGGCTCTCAATATCACTGTCAGAACCATCACAAAGCAGTCTGCAACCAAATCGCTCACAGCCGGAATCGAATAAGGCACCCAAGTCACGAGTACCAATTAACTATTAATAACAAAGCACAAATGACAGAAAACTAAACACACATACATATTAGGGCTGTACCGAATAGTGATTTTCACTATTCGGCCGAATACGAATAGTGAATCATCATCATTAGGTGCTGTCCAAGCTATTTTAAGCATTGTTCTGTAAAACCACATCTCTGAGGCCTCAAAAAATTGTTTGGCCTGCCTACCGATTGTCCAAGACTCACAGCCATCTGTTAAAACTGGATGTATGTAGCAAGCAGGAACTATTTTTCTAACCTTTACTGACAAAGATATATTGCATAAGATGTTCTTCATTTTATAAAATGCAGATTTTGCCTGTCCAATTCTGTTTCTTATTTCAATTATGCATCTTCCATCTGATGTTATCCATGTGCCCAGATACTTAAATTTCTGTACTTGTCCTAAAATAACACCATTGACTTTATTACACATTTAGGAATAATTTATTTCTTTGAAACCACCATTACTTCTGTCTTCCCATTATTCAAACTGAGGCCCATTCTTTCACTTTCGAATAGTGTATAAAATAGATCTAAAAAAAAAAAACATCCATAATGTCAAATGTACGCTAAAATTTTACTTCACCAAATGTAGTACAGAATAGTAAACATTTCATGTTTTGCATCCTTCAGTCAGTCAGTCTGTGGTAACTAATACCCAGGAATGAAAGTATTCTTAGTTTTATAACAAGTAACTAAACTTGTAAATTGTCACTGACAGCTTAGTTAATCCATACGGCATTAGCTTTAAAAAAAAAAATTGTTCCATGTTGTCAGCACTAAGGCAGCTTCTGGTCTCACTGAAGGTATTTCCAGCAGTACTAAACAGATGTTCACTTTGTGCGCTCGTAGGTGGTGCACAAAGATAACGCTTGACAGTATGAACCGAGGTGGAAAATCTTGATGTGTTCATTTTCCACAAGTCCAGAAATAGGTGTAAGGTAACCACTATTCATATTCGGCTCGACCGCAACTATACAGCCGAATACTGAATAGTTATTAGGTCCACTATTTGGCCCTGAAGCGAATACGAAACGAATATTCGGTATAGCCCTAATATATATATTTGTGAAAATACATATAAATGCACACATAAATATGCACAGATACACAAAGAGATAAGAGAGACAGCTAAAGAAACAGAGAGGGGAAAAAAGAGAGAGAGAGAAACAGTGAGAGATAGACACAAAGGTAGATAGAGAGGGGGAAGAGAGGGAGAAAGAGACAACCAAAAAGTAGGTGAAGAGAGATGCACAGAGAAAGAGATGAGAGAAATAGATAAATAAATCAAGAAAAAAAAAACTGGTAGAAGGAGACACACTGAACAGGAGACACACAGAGAGGGCGAAAGAGAAAGGGGGAGGGGTGGGGAGAGAATGAGAGACTCACATAGAGGGCGAAAGAGAAAATGGGTTGGGGGTGGGGCAGAATAAGAGACACACAGAAAGGTAGACAGAGAGGAGGAAGAGGGAACAAATGAAAAAATGAACTAACGAAACTTTATTTTCTGGGGTCACAAACTGGGCGCACAGACCCGCCTTATATTAGGCCCCCCCATAGACTCTGATCTTTCACACATCAACTGTATTTTTCATTATGCTCATGAACCCAGGTCGACCCAGCCAGGTGCAGTCTTGGGAAGTAAAGGTGGCCGGCATGATGCTGACCACATCCCCCGACTTGTGCTGATTGGTCTATAAAATATAGGTCTAGTCCTATATGCCCTATACGCCTTAAGGGGTGGAAAAGGGTCTTTTACTTTTTACATTACTTATGCCCATGAAGCAAAATACATAATATGAGCATAGGGTTAAAACAAATAAAGCAGGGAAGAGAGAGAAGGGTAGACATTCAAGGGCAAACAGACAGGGGAGGGAGTGAGGGAGACATAAATAGGGGATGGAATGAGGGACGCAGAGAGAGGGACACAGCAAGAGGGATACAGAAAGAGGGAGACATATAGAGGGAAGGAATGAGGGACACAGAGAGAGGGACACACAGAGAGAGGGGGGACACAGAGAGAGGGGACAGAGAGAGAGGGGGACACAGGGAGATGGGGACACAGAGAGAGGGGGACAGAGAGAGAGAGGGGGGAACCCAGAGAGGGGGACACAGAGACACAGAGAAAGAGACACACAGAGAGAGGGACACAGAGAGAGGGGACACACAGAGAGAGGGGACACACAGAGAGAGGGAAGACACAGAGAGAGGGAGGGACACAGAGAGAGGGGACACACAGAGAGAGGGACACAGAGAGAGGGACACAGAGAGAGAGGGACACAGAGAGAGGGACACACAGAGAGAGGGACACACAGAGAGATGGACACAGAGAGAGGGACAGAGAAAGGGACACAGAGAGAGGGACACACAGAGAGAGGGACACAGAGAAAGGGAGACACAGAGACTGGGACACAGAGACTGGGACACAGAGAGGGAAACAGAGAGAGGGACACAAAGAGAGGGACAGAGACAGGGACACACAGAGAGGGACACAAAGTGAGGGACAGAGACGGGGAAACACAGAGAGGGTCAGAGACAGGGATACACAGAAAGGAAAAGAGACGGGGACACACAGAGAGGGACAGAGACAGGGACACACAGAGAGGGACAGAGACAGGAACACACAGAGAGGAACAGAAACAGGGACACACAGACAGGGACAATGACACACAGACAGGGACAGAGACAGGGACACACAGAGAGGACAGAGACAGGGACACACAGAGAGGACAGAGACAGGGACACACAGAGAGGACAGAGACAGGGACACACAGAGAGGACAGAGACAGGGACACAGAGAGAGGGACAGAGACAGGGATACACAGACAGGGACAGAGACAGGGACACACAGAGAAGGACACACAGAGAGGGACACAGAGAGATGAACACACAGAGAGAGGCAAGATGAATAAAAGAAAATGAATGAACTTACAATGATATTGTGATCATCTCGAAGCTCCAGTTTGATAATCCAATATCCAAGGAGCTGACTAGCCCTGCATTTGATACAAAACATGGACAAACTGAGTACATGCTAGAGAAGGCAATCACTACAACAAGTATTGGCAAATATTTTTTTTGGGTGGTATCCACAGTACACAGTACCAGCACCTTTTTGAATGGCCTACTTGTGTTTGTCAGTGCTACTGTAACAGACAAGGTGTGTGCAGAGGCTACACGCTCACCTGTGGATCCAAAGGTCGTGGGTTCAGGTCCATTAAATTCAAAAATTCCCTCCCCCTCCCCCAGTTCACTCAGCCTTAAATGGATACCAGGTAAAGTCCTGGGAAGTAAAGGTGGCCTGTGTGATGTTGACCATATCACCCACCAAGTGCCGATTGGTCTACAAAATACAGGCCTACCTAGCCCTATATGCCTGAAGGGTCCTTTACTACACTTACTGTAAAGGTACCTTGTGGTTAGTACCGACACCTTTCTCAGGACACTGTGGTGAGTTCATGTCCCTTTTTTCCTATTTGAAAAAATCACTGACAACAGGTATTTATCACCTGCTCAGTAGCCGCAAAAGGAGTCTGTGTGTTGGACATGTGTTCAGCAAATACCAACATCAGTTTCCCACCTACAGCACGACCATGTCAATTTCTGATGTCTTTAAGGTCAGTTTAGGTATGTGCATATTTATGTACGTGTGAGTGAGGAGTGACACTCTGTAAGCAGGTGTCAGTGAGGAGAGACTCTCTGTAAGCAGGTGTCAGTGAGGAGAGACTCTGTAAGCAGGTGTCAGTGAGGAGAGACTCTCTGTAAGCAGGTGTCAGTACAGGAGAGACTCTCTGTAAGCAGGTGTCAGTACAGGAGAGACTCTCTGTAAGCAGGTGTCAGTGAGGAGAGACTCTCTGTAAGCAGGTGTCAGTGAGGAGAGACTCTCTGTAAGCAGGTGTCAGTGAGGAGAGACTCTCTGTAAGCAGGTGTCAGTAAAGGAGAGACTCTCTGTAAGCAGGTGTCAGTGACGAGAGACTCTCTGTAAGCAGGTGTCAGTGAGGAGAGACTCTCTGTAAGCAGGTGTCAGTGAGGAGAGACTCTCTGTAAGCAGGTGTCAGTGAGGAGAGACTCTCTGTAAGCAGGTGTCAGTGAGGAGAGACTCTCTGTAAGCAGGTGTCAGTGAGGAGAGACTCTCTGTAAGCAGGTGTCAGTAAAGGAGAGACTCTCTGTAAGCAGGTGTCAGTGAGGAGAGACTCTCTGTAAGCAGGTGTCAGTGAGGAGAGACTCTCTGTAAGCAGGTGTCAGTGAAGAAAGACTCTCTGTAAGCAGGTGTCAGTGAGGAGAGACTCTCTGTAAGCAGGTGTCAGTGAAGAGAGACTCTCTGTAGACAGGTGTCAGTGAGGAGAGAGAGACACTCTGTAAGCAGGTGTCAGTGAGGGGAGACACTCTGTAAGCAGGTGTCAGTGAGGAGAGACTCTCTGTAAGCAGGTGTCAGTGAGGAGAGACACTCTGTAAGCAGGTGTCAGTAAGGAGAGACTCTCTGTAAGCAGGTGTCAGTGAGGAGAGACACTCTATAAGCAGGTGTCAGTGAAAAGAGACACTCTGTAAGCATGTGTCAGTGAGGAGAGAGACTCTGTGAGCAGGTGTCAGTGAGGAGAGACACTCTGTAGGCAGGTGTCAGTGAGAAGAGACTCTCTGTAAGCAGGTGTCAGTGAAGAGAGACTCTCTGTAGACAGGTGTCAGTGAGGAGAGAGAGACACTCTGTAAGCAGGTGTCAGTGAGGAGAGACACTCTGTAAGCAGGTGTCAGTGAGGAGAGACTCTCTGTAAGCAGGTGTCAGTGAGGAGAGACTCTCTGTAAGCAGGTGTCAGTGAGGAGAGACACTCTGTAAGCAGGTGTCAGTGAGGAGAGACACTCTGTAAGCAGGTGTCATAAGACACTCTGTAAGCAGGTGTCAGTGAGAAGAGACACTCTGTAAGCAGGTGCAGTGAGAAGGTGTCAGGTGAGTGAGAGAGACTCTGTAGCAGGTGTCAGTGAGGAGAGACACTCTGTAAGCAGGTGTCAGTGAGGAGAGACACTCTGTAAGCAGGTGTCAGTGAGAAGAGAGACTCTGTGAGCAGGTGTCAGTGAGGAGAGACTGTAAGCAGGTGTCAGTGAGGAGAGACACTCTGTAAGCGGGTGTCAGTGAGGAGAGACTCTGTAAGCAGGTGTCAGTGAGGAGAGAAACTTTAAGCAGGTGTCAGTGAGGAGAGACACTCTGTAAGCAGGTGTCAGTGAGGAGAGACACTCTGTAAGCAGGTGTCAGTGAGGAGAAACACTCTGTAAGCAGGTGTCAGTGAAGAGAGACTCTGTAAGCAGGTGTCAGTGAGGAGAAACACTCTGTAAGCAGGTGTCAGCGAGGAGAGACTCTGTAAGCAGGTGTCAGTGAGATGAGACTCTCTGTAAGCAGGTGTCAGTGAGGAGAGACTCTGTAAGCAGGTGTCAGTGAGAGAGAGATACTCTGTAAGCAGGTGTCAGTGAGGAGAGAGACTCTCTGTAAGCAGGTGTCAGTGAGGAGAGACACTCTGTAGGCAGGTGTCAGTGAGGAGACTCTGTAAGCAGGTGTCAGTGAGAAGAGACACTCTGTAAGCAGGTGTCAGTGAGGAGACTCTGTAAGCAGGTGTCAGTGAGGAGAGACACTCTGTAAGCAGGTGTCAGTGAGGAGAGACTCTGTAAGCAGGTGTCAGTGAGGAGAGACACTCTATAAGCAGGTGTCAGTGAGAAGAGGCACTCTGTAAGCAGGTGTCAGTGAGGAGAGACACTCTGTAAGCAGGTGTCAGTGAGGAGAGACTCTGTAAGCAGGTGTCAGTGAGGAGAGACACTCTATAAGCAGGTGTCAGTGAGAAGAGACACTCTGTAAGCAGGTGTCAGTGAGAAGAGACACTCTGTAAGCAGGTGTCAGTGAGAAGAGACACTCTGTAAGCAGGTGTCAGTGAGGAAAGACACTCTGTAAGCATGTGTCAGTGAGGAGAGACTCTCTGTAAGCAGGTGTCAGTGAGGAGAGACTCTGTAAGCAGGTGTCAGTGAGGAGAGACTCTCTGTAAGCAGGTGTCAGTGAGGAGAGAAACTTTAAGCAGGTGTCAGTGAGGAGAGACACTCTGTAAGCAGGTGTCAGTGAGGAGAGACACTCTGTAAGCAGGTGTCAGTGAGGAGAAACACTCTGTAAGCAGGTGTCAGTGAAGAGAGACTCTGTAAGCAGGTGTCAGTGAGGAGGACACTCTGTAAGAGGTGTCAGTAAGGAGAGACTCTGTAAGCAGGTGTCAGTGAGATGAGACTCTCTGTAAGCAGGTGTCAGTGAGGAGAGACTCTGTAAGCAGGTGTCAGTGAGGAGAGACACTCTGTAAGCAGGTGTCAGTGAGGAGACTCTGTAAGCAGGTGTCAGTGAGGAGAGACACTCTGTAAGCAGGTGTCAGTGAGGAGAGACACTCTGTAAGCAGGTGTCAGTGAGGAGAGACACTCTATAAGCAGGTGTCAGTGAGAAGAGACACTCTGTAAGCAGGTGTCAGTGAGAAGAGACACTCTGTAAGCAGGTGTCAGTGAGAAGAGACACTCTATAAGCAGGTGTCAGTGAGGAAAGACACTCTGTAAGCATGTGTCAGTGAGGAGAGACTCTCTGTAAGCAGGTGTCAGTGAGGAGAGACTCTGTAAGCAGGTGTCAGTGAGGAGAGACTCTCTGTAAGCAGGTGTCAGTGAGGAGCGAAACTCTGTAAGCAGGTGTCAGTGAGGAGAGACACTCTGTAAGCATGTGTCAGTAAGGAGAGACACTCTGTAGGCATGTGTCAGTAAGGAGAGACACTCTGTAAGCAGGTGTCAGTGAGGAGAGACTCTCTGTAAGCAGGTGTCAGTGAGGAGAGACACTCTGTAAGCAGGTGTCAGTGAGGAGAGACACTCTGTAAGCAGGTGTCAGTGAGGAGAGACACTCTGTAAGCAGGTGTCAGTGAGAAGAGACACTCTGTAAGCAGGTGTCAGTGAGGAGAGACACTCTGTAAGCAGGTGTCAGTGAGGAGAGACACTCTGTATGCAGGTGTCAGTGAGGAGAGACACTCTGTAAGCAGGTGTCAGTGAGGAGAGACACTCTGTAAGCAGGTGTCAGTGAGAAGAGACACTCTGGAGAGAAACTTTGCAAACTTGTGTTAGTGTCGGCCTTCATTTGTGGATGTTTGAGTGAGGGGGAAAAAACTTTACATGTATGCCTAACTGAGGGAAGAGAAACTTTGCAAGCATGTATTCGTGAGTGGAGAAACTTTGCAAGCATGTGGGAGTGAAGAGAGAACTTTTCAAGCAAGTGTGAGTGAAGAAAAATTTGCAAGCATGTGTTTCTTCTTCTTTGCATTCACCAGCTATAAACTCCAGCAGAAAGATATGGTTACTCATCTACTTTTAGACTTTAGTCTTGTTCAAGAACTTGAGTTCTTTGTGGACAGTTTTACAGATCTGGCTTATTTGTATGCAAACTATTGGTCTCTGCCTCTCAGGCAGATGCACTCCCGAAACACCCCTAATTAGTCGACAGGGGGACAGCATGTCAGTCTATTCTTCTTCTGCTTTATTCTGGAGTGTTTGCCATGTCAGGGCAGGAAGAGATCTCTAGAATGGGCCCTTATGTTCGCTTCCTTTAAGTGTGTTTAAGTGTCTTTGACATTTTGTTCTAGTATAGTAGGTGAACATTTCATTTCCATTGTGACTATTTTCCTTCAGTCCTCTGAAGACTGTGTTCATGTTTGACATTAATAGCATAGCGTTGGTAAGAATATTGTATTCAACAATGTTCTTTCGGTGTTCAAGTTCAAATGCTTGCAATTCAAAACTGGTGTCACATGGCATTAAACATGACTGCCTTTGTCGCATCTTTGCTGGATTTTTTAAATTTATTAATCCTTCCGTCTTCTGAAATAATTCTCACCAGATTTATAAAATCCTTCCCCTGCTTGCACTATTTTTTTTTTTCCTCCCTAAGAATGGGACCCCAGAATCCACATGGGGAGACTAACAAACAAACAAACAAACAAACAATACCATGTCTCACTGCCAACCGAGGATTCTCACCTGCCGGAGCAACTCGTCTGACATACGTTCCCCAGTCTAAGACCACTCTTGGTGTGCCAGTCTTACATTCCAAAAGCTGCCGTACCAGACCCGAGACCACAAACTTAAACACCAAATGGCACATCGTGATGGATAATGCCACCTTATTCTCCTGGAAATGAAATTAAAAATGTGAGAAATAAAATCTTTCCAAAATGGAGTTGATTATATTTACTATAAATGTCTTTTTTGTCGTTTTATTGTGAAACATATTTTAGTGTGCTTTTTTTGTGTGTGCATGTCATTAGGATGTACTTCTTTTGTTCGCCTGAAATAAGTTGCCTATATCAGCAGTTTTGTTTCTTGTACAATATTTCATTGTTATTTTTAGTTCGTTGGGTAGTCCATAGGAGTTTATGTTCCACTGTTATTCTTCTGGCCAAAAAGTTTGCCTCAATGTGTCAAATTCTGTGCAGTCCTGGAGAATTTGTTCTACTGGCTTGGGCACCTTTCCACGGGTGCACATGGCTGATACACCTATGCTGAATGTTGTCTACATGTGGTGATGTAATCGGTTGTGCCCTGTTCTGAGGCGGAGGATAATGACTTGTTCTGATCTGCCAATAATATCTTTCTTCTCCTCGTTCACCAGCTGTAAACTCTGGCAGAATGTTCTGGCTGTTCATCCACTTCTGAACTGCAGTCCTGTTCCAGAACCTTAGTGTTGCGTGTGCATCCATTTTACAGATCTGACTTATCTGTATGCAGACTGCTGGTTCCTTACCTCTCAGGCAGATGTACTCCGACTTCGAAGAAAGCCCCCAATTAGTCGACTCCTACGACATGCTTTGGGTAGGCAGTGGGTCTATTCTTGTTTTCCCCACAACTGGGGCCCCGTAACCCACGCAGGGAAGATGCCCATAATATAATAGTCGTCTTGTGACAACAGAGATGAAATGCCTTAGAAAAGCTGCAGGAGTTTCAAGAAATGACAGAATATGAAATCATGAAATCAGACGAATGCTAGGAATAAAGCCAGTCTTACAAGTCATCAAAGAACAACAAATGAAGTGGTTTGGACACCTAACAAGAATGCCCTGGTACTATCTGCCACAGCTAGCCACACTAAAACGTTACAATGGGTATAGAGCTAGTGGAAGACCTTGGATAATATGGAGTGATGGCATTAGGTACAGCCTTACAGAAATGAGCAGGCACACATAGACTTGCTGGTTCTGCACCACTTGGTGGTGAATTTATTTTAGATATGACAAGCCAGATGTTGCCAGGGCCTTTTGGGAGTGAGGCAAAAATAAAGATGATTAAGGTATTGTGAGTAACCAGGGGAATCCGGCCAACACTCAACATTCAAGGAAAAGGTGAGATGGAAATACAATCAGTTACTGGCGCCAGTGGAATTGGAACTCTTCACTTGCTGCTGAAGATGGGGAAGAAGTGCTTATGGAAGGTGTCCAGAGTGCAGTGAATGTTTAATCTTAATTCAAAATTCAACTCGTTTCTACCTCATAAAACAGTATTAATTTGAGTTAAATATTCCAGGTTTGGCCCCTTAGGTTTAACTTCTTCTGGCTTCCACAAATTTCCCATTGTTATGAAAGCCTCTTCTGCCTTTTATGGTTAACAAAAATGACCCAAGCAAAATTGTGCTCTGAAGGTTGTATGTTTGATTTCAGGCTCTGTCCTTTGGTTCTTCTTCTTCTTAGCAGTTACTGGCTGATACTTCTAGGGAAAATGCTGGTTGTTCATTCACTTCTCAACTTTGGATTTGTTCCACAACTTTATTTTTGCGTGCACATCCGCTTTACAGATCTGGTTCAAGTGTAGGCAGGCTGTTGATTCCATGTCTCTAAGGCAGATGCACTCTGAAAAAAAAACACCTAATTAGTTATCTCCTACGCTAGGGCACAGTGGGTCTATTTCCCCCCCCCCCCCCCCAGCTACAAATGGGACCCCAGATCCCAGGTGGGGGAGTCCCTTGGTTAAAGAGTGTGGATGTTTCATGGATTCTTGTGTTTTGGAGCTGAGGGGATTGTTTTGTACACAATTCTCTCCTGGAAGACCAACCACTCTATAGAGAGAAAACACAACCACATCGGATAAACCCAGGTTCAGTGAAGTCAATTATCTTGCCCATTCTTCTTCTTCTTACAGTCCACGCTGTGCGGGGTCGGTAGTCATGACTGTCCATAGCCTTCTGTCTTCTTTCTATCAGCTCTGACAAACATGATCTTTCATACCATGATGCCGCCCTTTTTTCTTCTTCATTTGTCATCTCATTGATACTAGGTTGTAGCCTAGTGTCGTGGTTTTCTGTATTTGTCTTTCGCTTTTCAGGTGGCATGGGTGATGAATTTATCCTTCTTTTTCTTGGTCTTCCTCTTACCTTCCTCACAGATGTTCTGCTGTAAGAAGTCTCATATGCAGTTTGGTCTGGTTGCATTCTTACTAGATGGCTGAACCATTTTATTCTTTGTCAACGTAATCCAGAGATGGTCTTACTCCAACTTTCTCTCTAACGCTGGTATTCATAACCCAGTCTCTCTTGTGTTGTTAGTGATGATGCGGTTCTTCAAATACCTTAAAATGTTTTTCTTCTTCGCGTTCACCGGCTGTAAAATCTGGCGGAAAGTTCTGGTTGTTCATCCACTTCTGGACTTCAGTCCTGTTCCAGAACCTGAGTGTTGCGTGTGCATGTTTTACAGATCTGACTCATGTGTATGCAGACTGAATAGATAATTATCTTAAAAACCACTGGAGGACAGAGCATGAATGGGTCGGCTGGATGTGCTAGGATTCTGAATACAATAACAAGTAACATCTTAAAATGACAACAATAAACGGGTAAAAGGTTCTTTCTTTTGTTTATTCAAGTAAAAAATGGGGAACCCTTGGAGCCCCCCCCCCCCCCCCCCCCCCCCCCCTCCGGGAAGGCCAATATTATAGGGGTGTTATGGTTTGAAATAAACACTAACCTAACCCTAACACCCCTATAAAACTGGACTTTCTGGGGAATTCCAGGATTCCCAGTGTTTTCGATGAATAAAAATAAAAAAATAAAATAAAGAACCGAGAAAACACTTTGCAATAAAAGCTGTAAATAAGAGCTGACAAACCTTGAATATGTGTCTGTTGTAGAAGGTGAGCCCAATAGAAAACACATAATAGAACAGAACAAGGGACAACGTTTTCACTGCCGCAACGAAGAATGCAACTGAGCAAACAGAGGCCTTGACAATCTCTTCTTCCTTCCAGTACAAAAGCCTTCAGTTCATGCAGATCGTGATGTCTTCTCATTTTCTCTCTGCTCAGTCTGTGAAATAAATGAGTAGAAATGGATGAAGCTTTAGTTTCATTCGGTTAGTAAAAGATTACTTTGATTGCTCACTGAAGTGTCCTAATGCTCCCTTAACTCTTCCAAATGCCACCTTCCATATACGTGAAGCATGCTAATGCCCAAGCTGCAATGTCATTTACGCCATCAACTGCGAGAGATGAGGCATGTAATACATTAGTGAAATGGGTCTACGACTGGTTGACAGGTTTAGACAGCATCTTTTGGATGTGAAGAGTGGTGCCCTGAAACCAGTGCCTTCTTCTTCTTCTGCCTTACCGAAGAATTGAAGTGCAATGGAACTGGTTTCATATGTATGTATGAAACCAGTGCCATTGCACTTTAATTCTTAGGATCACCAAGGTGTCCACTACATGGAGGTGACAGTCATCAAATCTAGCCACTCCAGCGACAGAGTTCGCAAGTCTCTTGAAAATCGCTTTATTTTCACTTTGGGCACTTTAATACCTAGAGGACTGAACTGCCAACACAGTTTCATCTAAAATCCTAGGGGACTGAACTACAAACACAGTTTTATCTAAAACCCTCCACGTACGGCCCCTAGAATTCCCCAGGGTATTTTTTCTCCTGCCCCACGTGTCTTGTCAGTCTGCTGACAAGACATCGACCTGGCTGCTTCGAGAGGCTAAGCTAAATTATTTTTTAGCATTTGTGTGTTATTGTTTGATTTATGTATGTGCTGATGAAGGTTCCATAGCCACAATGTTCACGTTTTGTTTGTGTTCATTATACTGCGAAGCTTGCTGATATACTTTTTGTTCGGTCTTATATCTTTTCTTAATCCTTCACTACCAAGAACATGAAAGTCAGATAAGTTAGTTAGTTTAGTTAGCCAACGTGGTCGGGTCTTGCCGGTCACACTCGCCATTGCTTTGGGTTATGAGTCCGATACCTCCTCATAGCCAAATATAACACTATTATCTGGAAAAATGGACAGGTGCCAATCATCATCATTAGTTAGCTAGTTAAGTTAAGTTAGTTTGGTAAGTTAATTAGTCTGTCAGTTAACTAGTTTAATTAGTTTGTCAGTTTACTAAATAGTTAGTTTTATGTTAGTTAGTTAAATTAGTTATTTAACTCTTCTTCTTCTTCTCAGCGTTCTCTGGCAGAAAGTTCTGGTTGGTCATTTCTAGACTTTGGTCGCGTTCCAAAACTTGAGCATTTGCCTGTATATTGATTTTACAGATCTGAATTATTTGTATGCAGATTGCTGGTTCCTTGCCTCTCGGGCAGATGCACTCCCGACTATGAAGGGAACTCCCCTAATAAGTCACTTTGTACAACATTCTTGTTAGAGAGGTGTGGGTCTATCCCCCCACCCCTCCCCCCGCCCCAGAATGGGTCCCTGGAACCAACACTGAGCCTTTCCCATTCAGCATCAAGTTTTACGCATTCGGTATCAAGACTATTCATTCAGTATCATACCTTTACCCATTCAGTGTCCAGCCTTTACATGTTCAGTATCCAGTCTTTACACGTTCAGTATCCAGTCTTTACCCATTCAGTGTCCAGCCTTTACATGTTCAGTATCCAGCCTTTACACATTCAGTTTCAAGTCTTTACACATTCAGTATCAAGCCTTTACACGTTCAGTATCCAGTCTTTACCCATTCAGTGTCCAGCCTTTACATGTTCAGTATCCAGCCTTTACACATTCAGTATCCAGCCTTTACACATTCAGTATCCAGTCTTTACACGTTCAGTATTCAGCTTTTACCCATTCAGTATCAAGCCTTTACACGTTCAGTATCCTGTCTTTACACGTTCAGTATTCAGCTTTTACCCATCCAGTATCAAGCCTTTACACGTTCAGTATCCTGTCTTTACACGTTCAGTATCCTTCTTTAAACGTTCAGTATCCAGCCTTTACCCATTCAGTATCAAGCCTTTACCTATTCTTGATCAGAAAGGAGATAACTATGACGAATTCTAAATGTAACTAGAGACAGTATCCTAACTGAGTTATAAGTTAGATTATCTTCACAGCACTCCGGACACATCCATAGGCACTCAGATTTCCCTCTCAACATATTCATCAGCGCCATGCTGTTAATGGTACCAGTCCTATGTTGGTTAACAAGACTTTGTGTGCGTCCAGTGTGCTTCTCATGCTTGGCTGTGCTGATCTTTACTCCAAATTCATGTATTCTTAGCAGTGATGTGGACACGTTGCTTCTAAAAACCTCAGAACGGCCTATCTCTCTAAGGGCAATGACAATGTCTGCGTGATCCATGGGGCGGCCATCTTCAATTAATGTAGCACCTGCCAGTCTATCAGCTCTCTCATTGCCAACAACGCCTGCATGCCCTGGGACGAATATGAAAGTAACTGCACACACAGGAGAATTTTGCAATGACTCAAGCCACTGTCTTCGTAACCAGCCTGCCTCGACCCGCCCGATCATGCTCAAAGAATCACTCAGCACACACACGCGGCAATAGTCCTGTGATCCCAGCCACACGAAAGCCTGTGTCACCGCCATCACCTCCATCGTCATGATCCTAATTGACAATATAAGAAAAGAAGCTGGGGCAGAACCAGTACTAAACAACATCACGAACTATGCAACTTACAGTGTTGCACCATGCACTCAAATCAGTAGTTGGGAGATGGAACTATTTACTTTCAGTTTAAATATAAAAGAAAATGCAATATATAACTATTGTCATAAGCAAAAACTTGAAATGACTCAAAACTGTAAACCTGCCTATCCACCATGCTGACACTGGAAAGACAAAATATAATAAGAAGAAGATAAGGAGCTAAATACCTGAATGGCTCGACCAAACAGCACAATCTGGACAAGACAAAAGACCTGATCCGAGACATGCACCTGTGAATAAATATTAGTTTTGCATTAGTAAATCAAGAAATGTCCTGGGAAGTAAAGGTGGTCACTGTGATGTTGACAACATCACCCGAGTGCCAAGTGGGTCACACAAATATGACCCGAGTGCCAAGTGGGTCACACAAATACGAGGATGGCATCGCTTTTCTTTCTTCTTTTGTCATCTCAACTGATACCAGGTTGTAGCCAAGTGTCATGGTTTTGTCATCTCAACTGATTCCAGGTTGTAGCCCAGTGTCATGGTTTTGTTATTTCAACTGATACCAGACTTTAGCCCAGTGTCATGGTTTTGTCATCTCAACTGATGCCAGGTTGTAGCCCAATGTCATGGTTTTGTTATTTCAACTGATACCAGACTTTAGCCCAGTGTCATGGTTTTGTCATCTCAACTGATACCAGGTTGTAGCCCAGTGTCATGGTTTTATCATCTCAACTGATACCAGATTGTAGCCCAGTGTCATGGTTTTGTCATCTCAACTGATACCAGGTTGTAGCCCAGTGTCATGGTTTTGTCATATCAACTGATACCAGGTTGTAGCCCAGTGTCATGCTTTTGTCATCTCAACTGATACCAGGTTGTAGCCCAGTGTCATGGTTTTGTCATCTCAACTGATGCCTGGTTGTAGCCCAGTGTCGTGGTTTTGTCATCTCAACTGATACCAGGTTGTAGCCCAGTGTCGTGGTTTTGTCATCTCAACTGATACCAGGTTGTAGTCCAGTGTCGTGGTTTTGTCGTCTCCCTGATACCAGGTTGTAGCCCAGTGTCATGGTTTTGTCGTCTCAACTGATACCAGGTTGTAGCCCAGTGTCATGGTTTTGTCATCTCAACTGATACCAGGTTGTAGCCCAGTGTCATGGTTTTGTCATGTCAACTGATGCCAGGTTGTAGCCCAGTGTCATAGTTTTGTCATCTCAACTGATACCAGGTTGTAGCCCAGTGTCATGGTTTTGTCATTTCAACTGATGCCAGGTTGTAGCCCAGTGTCGTGGTTTTGTCGTCTCCCTGATACCAGGTTGTAGCCCAGTGTCATGGTTTTGTCATCTCCCTGATACCAGGTTGTAGCCCAGTGTCATGGTTTTGTCGTCTCAACTGATACCAGGTTGTAGCCCAGTGTCATGGTTTTGTCATCTCAACTGATACCAGGTTGTAGCCCAGTGTCATGGTTTTGTCATGTCAACTGATGCCAGGTTGTAGCCCAGTGTCATAGTTTTGTCATCTCAACTGATACCAGGTTGTAGCCCAGTGTCATGGTTTTGTCATCTCAACTAATACCAGGTTGTAGCCCAGTGTCATGGTTTTGTCATCTCAACTAATACCAGGTTGTAGCCCAGTGTCATGGTTTTGTCATGTCAACTGATACCAGGTTGTAGCCCAGTGTCATGGTTTTGTCATCTCAACTGATACCAGGCTGTAGCTCAGTGTCATGGTTTTGTCATCTCAACTGATACCAGGTTGTAGCCCAGTGTCATGGTTTTGTCATCTCAACTGATACCAGGTTGTAGCCCAGTGTCATGGTTTTGTCATCTCAACAGATACCATGTTGTAGCCCAGTGTCATGGTTTTGTCATCTCAACAGATACCATGTTGTAGCCCAGTGTCATGGTTTTGTCATCTCAACTGATACCAGGTTGTAGCCCAGTGTCATGGTTTTGTCATCTCAACAGATACCATGTTGTAGCCCAGTGTCATGGTTTTGTCATCTCAACTGATACCAGGTTGTAGCCCAGTGTCATGGTTTTGTCATCTCAATTGATACCATGTTGTAGCCCAGTGTCATGGTTTTGTCATCTCAACAGATACCATGTTGTAGCCCAGTGTCATGGTTTTGTCATCTCAATTGATACCATGTTGTAGCCCAGTGTCATGGTTTTGTCATCTCAACTGATACCAGGTTGTAGCCCAGTGTCATGGTTTTGTCATCTCAACAGATACCATGTTGTAGCCCAGTGTCATGGTTTTGTCATCTCAACTGATACCAGGTTGTAGCCCAGTGTCATGGTTTTGTCATCTCAATTGATACCATGTTGTAGCCCAGTGTCATGGTTCTGTCATCTCAACTGATACCAGGTTGTAGCCCAGTGTCATGGTTTTATTATTTCAACTGATAC